CGGTGGGCGGACTCGCCAAAGGGGTGTGAAGAACCTCTTTAAGGCCTGTAAGCGGGCGGCGTTCGTCGGGGTGCCTCTTTAGGGGTCTGCGTGCACCACCCAGGCCTGTGCCTCCTGGATGGTCCATCCACACTGGCCTTGATCTGTAGAGCGAGCAGGTGTATATCTGCTCTGAAGCTTTCCCTCCTGCCGTGGTGGTGTAAGAGGCTCTTGACGTTACTGAGAAGTATCATCCTAAAAGCGCTGCAAGGTGAGGCTCCTCGGATGTAACTTAGGGGCCCAAGTCTTAGCTGCAGCCCTGGCCTGGTGGTTGGAGGCGCATGGGCGTCTGCAAGGTGGTGGTGGAGGGGCTTGGGTTCATCCTTGGGCACTGTGTGGGGTGTTAGTGTCTTAGTCTGTCTGCACCAGTGCTGTTCAAAAGCAGATTTCCTCAGGAAAGGGAGGTGAACCCCACTTGGAGAGCAGAGGCCGTGGCAAAGGAAGAAGTCCTTTGGCTTGCTGCAGTGTTGTGGAATTGATGGGGAAGCTTCTCCTCTGCCAGAGCAGCCGAGTGTAGCTCGTTGCCTTCGCCAGGTACCAGGGAGCTGATGTGATTGAAAGCGAGGTTCTCGTCCGCAGCAAAGAAGGTCCAACCGTAGACTCTCCTCCTTGCACTTGTTCCTGCGTTCCTTTGTGCACGCCCAGCATGTTGAGGCGCTTGTAGCCCTTCTAACTCCTGATGACCCCGATGCATCTCTGTGTTTTGCACTCTGGCCTTGTGGAAGCGTTGACGTGGGGAAACGGCTGAGGCTTCTGGCCCGTCGGTAACTTCGTCTTCCTCCTCCCTGGCCTTTTGCAGGGAGAATCACAGCGAGATCGAACGTAGGCGGAGGAACAAGATGACTGCCTACATCACGGAGCTGTCGGATATGGTGCCCACCTGCAGTGCCCTGGCCCGCAAACCAGACAAGCTCACCATCTTGCGCATGGCTGTGTCTCACATGAAGTCCCTGCGTGGCACAGGCAACACCTCCACTGACGGCACCTACAAACCCTCCTTCCTCACTGACCAGGTCTTGGCTTGATGCTGCTTGGTGGGAAATACCGCCCTCAGAGCGGGGCGGGGGGTGGGATTAAAGGGCGGGTGGGGGGAGGTGGTCACCCAGGGTGGGCTGAGACGGTGTGAGCTGCTTGGCTCCGGAGTTAAGAGCGTGTCTGTCTGTCTGTCTGTGAATGCAGGAGCTCAAACACCTGATCCTAGAGGCAGCCGACGGCTTTCTGTTCATAGTGTCCTGCGAGACCGGGAGGGTGGTCTACGTCTCCGATTCTGTGACTCCTGTCCTGAACCAGCCCCAATCCGAGTGGTTTGGCAGCACCTTGTACGACCAGGTCCACCCCGATGACGTGGGCAAGCTGAGGGAGCAGCTCTCCACCTCGGAGAACGCGCTGACAGGTAAAGCAGCCTGGGAAGGGGCTGGCAGTGGGGCGGGCGGCGCGAAAGCCTGCGGAGGACTTGGATTAAAACCTTCCCTTTGTAGAAGGAACCAAACCCTGGTGCCTCTCTAACAAGGATCCTGCAGCCCCCCCTGAGAGTGCATCTAAAGGTACCACTGGTGACGCTTGCGCCGTGCGAGTTTCCTCGTACGTTGCCTGGTGCCTGTGGGGGTGAAAGGGCCCGCGCCGGCAGCAGCATCTTGGGTTTTCTTCTCTCTTGAGGTCGCATCCTAGACTTGAAGACGGGGACTGTCAAGAAGGAAGGCCAGCAGTCCATGAGGATGTGCATGGGTTCCCGAAGGTCCTTCATCTGCCGAATGAGGTAACGGGGAGAGCCCTCGGGAAAACCTCCTTGGAGCCTGAAGCTGAACTTGCTCCCTGGCCCCGTCCCGCTTTTATTTCAGCGGGTTTTTTTTTTTGCTCGGCCTGATGTAGACGTGCTCGAACGTGGCTGAGCTTTCCCCACAGTGCTAGCAGTCCAGTTCTTGAGATTTTTCTTTGCCCTATGCAAAGACGGCTCCTCAGACGATCCACTTTCAAGTAACAATTTGTTCTGGCCCCGCGTGTCACCTCCCTTGAAGCCTGCAGAATGAGGGCTTGTCACCTGGGTGACGGGAGATTCGAAGGGTCGTCCCCATTTAGAGGGTCCTTCCTCTGATTCATGATTGTCAAGGTGGTTTGATGGTGACCAAGAAAGATAAGAGCCTTTTCCCCTCGCGTTTCTGATTCTGGTGCAGGTGTGGCAACAGCTCGGTGGATCCGGTCTCTGTAAATCGTCTCAGCTTCATGAGGAATCGCTGCAGGTAAATGATACGAGACGATGGGCAAGGGCGCCGCGTCGCGAGGGACAGAGGGAGCTGCAGCTCTGTCACCAGAGCGGTGGGGGTGTGGGGGGGTGCAGCTCACAGGAGGGTTTACCTCTGCTGGTAGAGGAACCAAAGTACCACTGTGTCGAGGAAGATGATCCTGGGGAAGACGAATCTTTCCAAGGTTGGATTTGAAGTCGATTTAACGCCCCTGTTGTTGCTGGGTTCTGGTGTATGTTGCCCCGTGTTAATTTGAAACGGGGATAGATTCCAGTCTATTCTGTTCTTGATCCTCTTGCGTTTATGTTGAGTCTTTGTTCTTTTTTTTTTTTTTACCCTGAAGACATTCTGTGGAAGCTTTTTAAAAGCACAAGTAGAAACCTTGCCCTCGCCTTACCCCGGCGTGGCACAGTGAGACTGTTTCTCTCTCCCAAGGAACGGCTTGGGTGCGGCGAAAGACGGAGAGCCTCACTACGTCGTGGTGCACTGCACGGGTTACATCAAGGCCTGGCCTTTTTTTACGGCTTGGCTGAAGCGCTCGGTTGTGCCCGGCTGTAGGAGCGTGTGGGCTGAAGTTGTCCGTGCCGGGAACCAAACGTGCCAGCAAATGCTTTCCGACTGTCTCTCTCTTATTTTAAGATTGAGCTAATTTTTGCAGATGCCGGATCAGAGACGTGTCTGTCTACGGTAGAGTTATTGTAGAGGATTAAAATAATATTACGCCGTCTGATATGCTGGCTTGTGCTGAAAGTTACAGAGATTTTTAACCCTTCTGGCAAAAAAAGGGAGGAGGCGGCAACTTACTGTACCAAATTCCTTCATGGGAAAGGATATTGAATTGGAACACAGGGTAGAGAGATGTATTGAAGTCAGAACTGCCTGGTTTGTTCCCCCTGAAATTAGCAGGTTTTCCTGTATTAACCTTGCTGGAATTTTTTGACCCTTCCCCCTCAGGTGTTTCACTGCCTGATGATGACCCGGACGCTGGCCAGGGCAGCAAGTTTTGCCTCGTGGCTATTGGGAGGCTCCAGGTGGGTAGCACCTTGCAGTGGTCCTTGTCCTAAAAGTCCGCAGAGTTAAACTCTTCTGTCTGAAGATGTTCCCCGGTCTGGCCGCAGGGCCGGCTGGTCAGGAGCGAGCAGCTCTCGTGAGCTTTGCTGACGCCGGGCCCCTGCTACCTTGCAGGTCACTAGCTCGCCCAACTGCACGGACATGAACAACGTTTGTCAGCCGACAGAGTTCATCTCCCGGCACAACACCGAAGGCATCTTCACCTTCATAGATCACCGGTGCGTGGCTACGGTTGGCTACCAGCCGCAGGTGAGGAAATGGTAGGAGCTTGCCAAGAAACCCTTCGGACTTCCCTTCCCTTCCTCCCTCTCTCGTACATCACGGCTCTGCTTGTCTGACAGGTCTGATAAAACAATGCCCAGGGCCTAAACCGTACGTGTGCTGCTTCTCCACCAGTTGCTTTTCTAAGTACTTTGATCGTTGGAAGGGTGGGGGGCTCTGGGTTGTGTCTGCTGTCAATTAAGATCATTTTTGCCTCCGAGTTAGAGATCAAACGTGAGTCAGCTGCTGCTGTGTTTCTCTTTAAAATACCGCCCACTGGGTCCTGCACTTTGTGTGACGGAGATTTGGTGGGGGGGGAGCAGTAACGACCTGTCCAAAGTGGAGTTAATGGGGCAGACCTGAAAGAGGGAGCATGCCTGCCAGACGAGCTGACTTGATCTCTCTCTCGCTTCCTTTAAAATTAGGAACTTCTGGGGAAAGACATTGTGGATTTCTGCCACCCGGAAGACCAGCAGCTTTTGCGGGACAGCTTTCAGCAGGTACAACACCCTTAGCTACCGCTTTGCAGCGTGGTATTGAGGCTGGAATCTGTCTTGGTGCTTGCAAAATGATGAAATTGCTTGGAAAACCAAGAGAAAAATGAATCTTAGCTATTTCTCCTTTGCCCAATGGCAAACAGTTACAGCTATAGTCACGTAACTGTAAATGTGCAAAACAAACCAGAAGCACCCGATGTCTAACTCTTGAATTCATCCTCTGGCTGCTAGTCCAGTCTGCTTTTAGGGCCAGAGACGTGGCTACAAAGTGCCTACTTGAATGCCATGCTTCTGTGGCTGAAACACTGGTTCATCTCTAGGGCCCAGCCCAGTGCTGCAGAACTCGAAATGGATGTGGTTTGCTTGCCCTGTTGTCGTTACTCTTATTTCTGAGGGCGTTGGACTTGTGGCAGGGCAGGTAAGACTGCCCCTGTGCTTTCATGACTCCAAAAAGTAGCTGCTCATGTCCATTTGTCCAAATAGTTGGAATCAGGAGCAACAGCATGTGCTTCATTTGCTGGAGGCTTTTTCATACATCTCACCAGTGCAAAGAGATCAGAAAGGCGAAGGCCAGCGAGGGGGCGTTAGGTTGCCCTCCCGTGTCACTCGGGGCTCGAGGCAGCGGAGGGGAGTAGCGCAGCCCCGCGCAGCTGGGGCAGAGCGAGCTGCGGTCGGGTAGGCTTGGAGGCAAAGGGCCATTGTGAGGTTTGAGCGGGGGGTGGCTCGTTCTCAGAAGCAAGTTGCTCTTCAACACCTTCTCTTATCAGGTACTACTGATGGCATTACGTTTTTTTAGGTGGTGAAGTTAAAAGGCCAGGTTCTGTCAGTCATGTTCCGATTCCGATCCAAAAACCGGGAATGGCTCTGGATGAGAACCAGCTCCTTTACCTTCCAGAACCCCTACTCGGATGAAATTGAGTACATCATCTGTACCAACACCAACGTCAAGTATGTACACGGAAATGACTTGCCAACCACCAGTGATAGCGCACGAACCCGCTGGGACCTTGTCCCGGCACAACCGGCAGCGCAGAACTGCGGGAGCTTCGGCCTCTCCCCCTCACTGAACTTCCCATCCATTTGCTGAGGCCC